TTTTACAAGCTGGTTATTTCATCTGTGACTTTTTCTTTTGTCTGCCAAGGTCATCCCCACATGCTGTGACATAGAAGAGCATGACAAATAATGAACTGTTTGTCTTTATTAATAGTTCAATTATTTGAATACACACCTTTTGGTTATGCTTGGATATAATTTGAGGCACAGTTTGGTGGTTAGAGAGTTAGCTATCTAATCACCATTTTTTCCCAGGATTTGTCCAAAAGAGAAATAAGAGTCATTTGTCTATTATTTTCAGGTAAATGTAGTTGTCAAAATTTGAACATGACGGTACAGTTTTGACAATGATTTAAGCCAATGACCCAGGACCATGAACCACATTTTTTAAGCTGGTTTATTCAGACATAAGATGCAAGTACTTTCAGTTCTGAAATGAAGAATTCATTTACTCAAGTTAATTTAATTTAATTAATTAATTTTCACCACCTTATTTTCACCTCCCACACCTTCCTCCTCTTATTTTCACCAGCACAATCATCCTGGGGGGGTTGAATTGGCATGAGAAAGTTTGATTGGCTAAGGCAGGACTTGAACTCAAGTTCCCACTTTCTAATCTGGTGCCTTTAACCGTTAGACCAAACTGGAACTCTTTTTATATCAAGCATTTTTACCTCAAATACTTTTTATCTTTAAAATAAATAGATCATATGTGCATTGCAGTCAAGTTATTACAGATAAATATGAAAATGGGCTAGTTTGGGCACAGTCAGCAGACCTTTTCAATAAAACAAATTGCAGAGAGTTTAAGAAAGTTTCTGGAAGTAATAGGATAGGTAGGGGTTTGGAGGTCATTACACGTGTTTACCATAGTGTAAAAGAGCACCAACAGTTAAGTGGAATGCGGTTTCTCCCTAGTTCTCAGCAGCACTTACAGAAAACTTTGCCAATGATTCCCTCAAAGGTTTCTCAACGGGCATAGTCAAGAAGGAAATCATTGTGATAGTCCTGTTGATTCTTTAAAGGGTATAATACCGCCTACAATAGTGTTAGATTTATGTAAATGAGGATATCATGTGACATGGAAGTCAACAATTGATGAATTCAAGTGCATATTAGCTCAGAGTCTAATATGAATAAGCAGGACTGGTTTTTTGGGAAGGTTTTTTTTTTTTTTTTTGCTACACTCAGAAGGCAGAACATATTCTAGACCTGCTAGGAAACTCAAACTTCAAATTCATTGCTACTTTCGAACTCATTGTTGCCATTCAAGCAAGACAGAAAAAAAATAATGTTCAAGAATTGTATAGGTGAATGAAGTGTTACATGAATGATTTCAGTTTATAATTTCTTAAACTTAAAATTTCAAGAGAAAGATTCAGGTACATGACAAAAGCTTATAATAATCCTGAAGGAAAACAAAATGGATTAAACATTTCAAGAATGTTTTAAAGATGAATAATAATTAAATTTTCAAGTTTGAAAAATATATATATCAGATTCACTTTAATACTAGGACTTTGCTGAAAGATGAATCTTGAATGGCAACATTCATTTTATCAGGAGGAAACATGAGATGTGCATTTGGGTGAAAATAGTATCTTTTGAATTATGTTTGTTGGTGAAGCATAGTTTTTAATGAGACACTAATTCCACATGTATACAGATGATTGAAAAGAATCAGGAATCAGGAAATTTTTCAGAAGTAAAATTAATGTGAATGAATCTCTCCATCGTATTTGATCAAAATAAACTAAGCACACATTAGCACAAATGAAAACATTTAAATATAATGCAAATTACACGAGACTCAAACAAAAAGCATTTTAAGTTTGTTTAAAAATAAATGGAAAGCATTTTTTGCAGGGTATTTCTTAGTGTGGCTTGATAGACAAAACTGCTATTCATTTTTATGCATAATTCTAATTTTGCTGAGAAATTATACTCATTGTCATACTTAATACATTTGATATGAGTTGCAGATTGTCCAGTACAGTTGTTTTAGTATCTTTAAGGCTTCCTGGGATAAGAGTAATCTGTAAGATATTGAGGTAGGCAAACATTTAATTCCAGAACTGTCTGCTTTTTAGACAGCTCTACCTCCTTGTTTCTTCACCACTGCTCCTTATATAGGATTTGATTTTGATCAAATGCCTTACTGCTGATTGAATAACCATGCCCTGGTCTTAGATAACGGACTGATTTTAAGAGATCTAATTATAATGTCAGAGTGTCTGTAATTAATTTTCAGAATAAAGAATTTGATTTGAATATTCTGCGGCTTGCACAGTATATATGTCATAATCTAAAGCAGGTCTACATTGAATTTTATCTTGGCCAAGTAATACATTCCCTATCCTTATCCCCTACAGTATTCATTCTTGCAGTGCCTAGCCTATTAAGTCTTATTTAGGGGAATGAAATGTAAGTCTCCTAGAATGCATAAGATGATATACAGTTTGACATTGCACAACTAGCTATGCCTGAGGGTTAAATACATACTGTACATATGACTGTTTAATGTATGGGAGCCAAAATGTGGCTTCTCTTGCTTTAAAAGACCTATTGATACATATTCATAATTAAACTAGAGCCAGTAGAAGCTTGCCCCTTGATTTATTTTTTTTATATAACATAGATATTCAATTCTTCCAGTGTTGCTTGGTAGATTTTATTATGTTAATAAAATAGTAAAAAAAATCAATACTGAACATTTCCAGCTTTATTATGAGGTTTAGAAAAAAAAGAAAGAATTCTAATTCTTTAGAAGCAGACTGGCAGAAATATATTTTCTGAATGAATATATCTACAAATAATATTTCTATAAGAAATTATTGGAACATATTGTTAGACAAACAGATTTTAATGGTATTTTTTAAAATTATGTAACCCTAATTCATATTTGTCTCCTTGCAACACTTATTTATGATCTTAAAACAAATATGGTTCATGAAGGCCACCTGTCTTCTGTAGGTATGCAGTAGTTGACTTGTTATTAGACTCTGAGATATTAATAACAAAATTTAGTTGGACAAAAGCTTTATTAGTAATTTTTTTCTACTATTAAAACTTGCACAGTTTCAGAAGGCCAAAAAATTCAGCAGAGGGCAATAACAAAACCATATGCCATTGTCACCTGTATGAAGCATATAAAAAAAAAACAATATCAAAGTAAGACTATAGCTACAGTATACTTTAATGATATAGACTGTAATAATAGAATCTTGAAAATCTTCTTATGTTTTATCTTCCATTCCCTTATATACCTATGGAGTCAGAGAGCAGGAAACCTGAGTCTAAAATATAATCTACAATTCTTAAATAGGGCTGGGATAAACTCCTTTTGGGGATTTTGGACAGTGAATGCCCTTTACTGGGAAGATCTGCCTTCCCAACTGTGGGCTTGGTGGAAAAAAACATTAGAAAGTATTGGCCAACGTTTTGGGAGGGCAACAATATGGGGAACATGAATAGCAATCATACTAAGTTAAATGGACTAATTGTTTGAGAATGATTTATGTTACTGATATACTTTGCCCTATAATATGTCTCCAGATACATTTAATTAATAATGATCTAATTTTTGGTGAACTGCATAAAGTTGGTGACAGATAATGCTAAGTGACTTTTTTAAAGTTTTTAATTGTATGCTAGAAACAATGCAGCATGTAAACTGAAGTAAAAAGTAAACATTATGTAACATGATTATCTTTCAAATATGAATTTGAATAAACAGACTGAAATGAAGATTTAGAAACATTTAAACCATCAGATTCTTCAGTTCTTGTAATCGAGTTATCAGCATATGGCTTAAGGCCAGCTCTTTGCCATGTGGTTTTAAGTAGGTATAACCAAAATAAATTTTGGAAGGGTGTCCTGGCTCTGTTTTGGCCTGCCCTAATTTCAAAATTGTTTTTAATACTGACATTCATTTTTTAATGAAAAGAGCCATTGAAATTTTGGTTTATTCCTTTCATTTACTGTTTGGTCACGTTGCTGAAAAAGAGACTATCATTTATAACAAAATGTTACAATTTCTGTTGTAAAAGTTGAAATAAATGCCTTTTAATTTTAATTTTCTATGGATGTATGCTCGCTATATTGAAACTCTGCAAAGTGACTGAACACAAAACAGATTATATTTCAATGGCTGTCTTCCAGTATCCTCTGACAAAGGGATGAAAATAGTTGATGGCATGCTGTCCTTTAGTAGAGTACAAACCTCTAACAACATATCAAATATACAAGGGATATGGTTTGGAAATAAGCGGTAGTAGTCACAGTTATGTGGCCAAATTAGAGCAGCTTTTTAATCTGAAACATAAATGCTTCATTTATAGCAAATGATAGTTAAGATTTAATGTAAGAAAAGTTGACAGGTAATAGATGTGATAGTAATGTTAGATAGTGGTTGATTTTTTATGAAATATGTATCCCATGCCTTCTTCAGCTTGTCAGTTTGACAAGTATATTGAAAAAGGTATAATTGTAGCAGAATTGCCATAAATGAGGGAACCAAACTGCACGTAGCTACTGGATGAATCAGAATAAGTGACATATGGCATTCTAGCTGTTGATCAAAAATGCTCATCATCCTTAGGAAGCCTGAATGCTGGAGATTTTAATTTAATAGCTTTTCTAGTGCTAAACATTGCTTATCCCTGGCGTGAGGATAAAGAAGAAAGTCCAATCTCCAAAAAAAATCACAAAGATATTACTACCCAGTCACCAAAATTGTTCTGATGTCTTTACTTGCTTGGTTTCTTTTCAAAAAGAGTGAAAACTTTACTTCAAATTTAAAATTTCTAAGACTTTCTACTAACAACTCATCATGAATGTCCTTCATTGTTTATTATGATTGCATCACTTTCTATTTTAGTTAAGACCAGAATGCTGATAATATTGTCTTCATGCTTTCCAGAAGAGCTGCCTATTTCTAAAATAAAAGACATCATAAGTACAAGGATTAACGTTTTATAAATTATGCCTTGGTCTTCCAAAGGTTTGCGATTAGTTTAATAGTTTATTTCTTTTTGTAGCAGACAGCAGATGTGTCATATCAAATGCAGCAACATGTACTGCCTGTCTTGCAGTGGGTCCTGAATGTGGTTGGTGTGTTGAAGAGGTAAACAGTTTCTTTTTATTAGTCAACTGTTACTTATTTATTTACCTTTCCTTTTCTACCTATGCAGAAGTAGGATTTTGCAACACTTCAATTTTGACAGAACAGTACTTGGGAAATTCCTGGGATTTCTCACACTTAGCAAATTCCAGTTACCGGGAGTCAACACTGACTTGAAGGCATACACACATACACAAAAATACATAAAACTGACTCATGGAGTCAGCAAGATAATTTAATGTGAGATGGACAGCAAGATAATTTAAAAAGTGAAATAAATAAAAATATCTTCTCTGCTGCTTCATCTAATAAAGCTCTTCATTAAAGTAAGGAGCTATCTTGAGTCAATGGACAGATAGCGGCCAGTAGGTTTTAGTTGCCTCTATATTCCTACAAGTACCTAAACCTTTGGCAGAGCAACATGTAGGAATAAGCTTCCTTGTATCTCTTAATTAAAAAAATAGTTTGAAATAATAATGTTTAGTGCTTTCCCCAACAGATAAGAGGGAAATAATTTTTATCTCTTTAATGAGATACTTGTACTTGGTATTGTTATGTATTTTACCGTTACTACTGATGCTGATTTCTTATAAAATAACCTGAATACTGTATGTGCTTTATTCTCACCTGCATCCAGTTTGATTGCAATATGCAGCACTATTTCACCTGTCTTCAAAAACAGTGTATTATAAATGGTTTAATTATGTTGGCGTTATTGTTAGTTTGGGATAATAACTTTTTGTTTATATGATATTATATTTTCTGGAAATGGAAGTTCTCCCCTTCTTATACTTTTATTATGTATTTTGCTTTCCCTTCATTCAAACAGGATTTTATGGCCGGAACAAAGTTGAAACAAAGATGTGACATAGTTTTACATTTAATCCAAAGAGGCTGCAAGCCAGATTTCATAGAAAGTCCTAAAGTTGATGTAATAGTGCCCAACAATGAGGCTAATATTCAAGTTATACCAGGAGAAGCTTCAGTGCACCTGCGTCCAGGTTTGTATATAAGAAATATTTTTTTAATATTAAAAACTACATTTTGCCTTTGGCACAATCTAGGAGACTGAAGATAAAGGAACTTGGATAAAGATTCTAACATGGTTTTCTATAATCAACAATAGGTTCTGAAGATTCACTTAGTTTTGAGAAAACACATGAAAAGATTCTAACTTATTCAAAAGCTACAACTGCATAATCTTTTGGATACACTAATTCAGTTAGTTGTGGGACATGGTTTAAAATTACTTACAACAATTGGTTCCAATAATTTTTAATGTCCTTGCCATCTTCTTAAATATCTTATGAGCCTGGCTGCCGCAATTATCCACTGTCTTAATTTCTACTAACTGTTCATCAAAATTGGATAATTAAAGTGAATCACTCTATATTTAGTTACTCCTCTCTACATCCAAATTCTGTAAATGACACTTTATTTACATTTCCTATATTTCTTAGGTAGATTTTGTTTTCTTAAATTGAAGATAGGAATATTCTTCCAGGTGTGAAACCTGACTCTGACTCTAGTATGCATCTTCCCTTCTCATGCATGAATGCCTGTGCATGAATGCATGTATGTACACACACACACACACACACACACACACAATACGTACAAAGTGGACATCAACCAGTAAACATTATACTTCACTTCTACTGCACAATGCCTGTCATTCATTCAGTGCTGGCTGAAAACTAGCCTTGATGTATTGCCAGGAGCAAAATATTCCAGCTGCTCTGCAAACTTGGAAACTACCCTGCCCCCCTGGTCTTTCATCCCCCCTCATTGGTTGGAACCTGCATTTCTCCTATGCCTTGCTTTTTTCCTGGGATCACTGACAAGCTTACTCTGCTCCCCATTTCCAATTTTGTTTCACACTCACTTGATAGCAAACTCTTAAAAAAGGATCTGCATTCTGCAGGTGATGGGGACAAATTGAAAGCAAAATAGGCTAAATTTACAATGCATTGGGAACAGCTCGCAAATTCAATATGGCATAGCAAAGTTTCCTGTTATACATACATACATATTTAGATATGATTTAAGTGTTTTAATAGATTCTTCTTTTCTCTTAAGCATCTAGGTCCGTGATGGCAAACCTATGGCACGCGTGCCGGAAGTGGCACGCAGGGCCATTTCTGCCGGTACATGAGAGGTCGCCTGGAAGAGTCCTACTGCGCATGCGCGCGCGCCCCCCACCAGCCAGCTGATTGTCGGGTATCTGCTGCGCATGCATGGGGGGAGATGCATGTGTGGGAGACGCGCATGCATGCGCAGGAAGCAGAGCATGCAGGGAGGTCGTGTGCGCATGTGCAGAGGCACATGGCGGGGGGTCACAAGTGCACGCGCAGGGGCAGAGGGAGCGCGTGCATTTCATCATGGGTGCAGGCACGCAAGCGCGTGCACGCAAGCGCACACACTTTCGGCACGTGACGTGGAAAAGGTTAGCCATCACTGATCTAGGTCAATGGTCCCCAACCTTTGCAGCTTGGCAGCCTGGTTGGGAGGGGAACCACGCCGCTTAAGTGGCGGGCCTGTGCATGCATGTGCACAACTTGATGTGTATAAATGCACATGTAGCTCAACTTGCATACATTGAACTGTTCAAGCATGTGCATACATGTCGGCCTGCTGCTTACACAAGTCAAGCTGCACACTTGACTGCCGGCTTGCCACTTACATGGTTCCAGATAGGCCTTGGCCTGGGAGTTGGGGACCCTTTAAGTAGGATTAGATGATTTATTTATGCCTTCTGAACAATCACTTGATGGGATGTTCATTAATATGAGACTGAGTAATATCTGCACTGTATTTGAACTAGGAAGGATAGTCAGAAAAAGCAATCAATGATCAATCACTTGGATGAGGCAGTGGGCAGAAGAAATTTGAATGAGCATCCCAGTAAGGTTACATGTTGTAATGCATTTTGTAACTATAGGATGCATATGAGAATATTTGAAGCACATTGGAGGCAATATATTTTCAGAATTGAATACAGATTTGTTTGTTGCAATAACTTACTCTTGTTCACGTTAAGTGTAAGTAGATATAAGCTTGTTTTAATGCAAAATGGGTGCTAAGGTATGTTAATACAGACAAGAATAGAAATCATAGTTTGTTTGAAATGCTCTTAGTTTGGAAATTTAGACATTTGATTTGATGATTTAAAATTAAGGAAAACAAAAGCTCCATTCTAACAAGCTAATTCAGTTTGTGGGTATTATCTAGAAGTTTGAGAGCTAGTGAACTTTGTTTGTAAAAAAATATAAAGTTAACATGAACATTAACATATTGAATTCTGGTTTGTTCAGAAATCTAGCTCTAAAAATCTAGATGTATGAACCATATAAAGAATTTGCTTTGTGCTATTTTGTAACTAGCAGAATTAACTTGCCAAACTTATACCTCGTCCCTAATCCTTCATAAGTGAAGGGGAATTTCAGACTGTTATTCATCTGCCTAAAGTTTCTCTACCCAAATATTATTGTTTTCAACATCAACACAATTCATCATTCACCTAATGCATTGTACCAAAACTCCTCATTCTTCTTGGTAAATTAACTTGCTTACAATAATGTTTTTAAAGTTGATGATTCCAGCTGCACTGAAAGGCTAAGTTTTAGTTTTACCTATGATCAATGAAAGTATAATATAATACATTTATATTTACAAGCCTAACTTGAAAAACTTTGTGTTTCATAACTATAGTATTTCAGTGGGTACCACCTTGCAAGATTAGTATTGACTCATATGGAATTGACTACAGTATAAATCTAATAAATACATAAAATGGCATTGTGCGTTGCATTGGATGTATGCTGAGCCCCTTTTCCATATCTGACACTTATTATCGGTACCTCTATTAATGGTCCATTCTTTTAGAATCCTTTACTTCAGGGGTCTCCAACCCTGGTCCGTGGACCGGCACTAATCCATGGCATGCGAGAAACTGGGCCTCACAAACAAGTGAAGCCTTATCCACAGGATGTAGGCAGCATACAAAATCATAGCTCCTCTCTCTACAGAACTGGTACCTGGTGCCCAAAAGGTTGGGGGGCCACTGGGCAGACAACCAATTGGCTGTGAATATTGCCCATGGCATGGAAATTTTAAAATGTATCAGGGTGCTCAGTTAGCATTGTGAAATTTCCACCAACTTAATACGTCTACAGTACTGTCAGCAAAGGAGAATTACGTAATTGTTCCTTATTAAGAAAAGATTATAGGTACTTGTCACAAACATTCATTTAATAACCGTTCAAAGTTACAACAGCATTGAAAAAAGTGTCTTATGACCTGGTTTCCCACTTGTAACTGTTACATAGTCACATGATCAAAATTCAGTCACTTGGCAACTGACACATATTTATGACAGTTGTACTGTCCTGTGGTCATGTGATCACCATTTGTAATCTTCATAGCTGGCTTCCAACAAGCAAAGTCAATGGGGAAGCCAGATTTGCTTAACAACTGCATGGTGCACTTAACAACTGCAGTAATTCGCTTATCAACTGTCATAATGTCATAAAATGAGGCACAACTCACATAACAACTGCCTTGCTTAGCAGCATAAATTTTGAGCCCAGTTGTGGTCATAAGTTGAGGACTATTCACGTTTCTGGTATAAAAAGGATGTTAAATAAAAGCCTAGGTAACTATAGTGCTGTTAAAGAGCTTTGCTAGTGGCCCCATCCGTAGCATCATTGTTTTATTTCTACCTTGGGGAACAATAAATACATATGGAACATGAAAGGAGAACCTAATCTGAATTAACTGTGATGGGATAAACTCAGTTGTACCAGATTTCGGTACATACACATAGGCCTCGATGCACCTAAGCTTCTTTATGGTAGAAATGCACATAGTGGTATGAAAATGGTCTGTTGTTGACTATGGCAAAGCTCTAAAAACTGTTGTTGACTATGTTATAGCTCTAAAATCTACCTGTAGAAGACTTATAAAGAGGTTTAAGTTGATTTCAGCCAATAAGAATGATCTTATAAATTTAGATTATTTTTCAGGGCAACTTGGTCAATCTTTTTCATTATCCTATTCTGTTCTATCCCCTTATAATAAATGACTCTGTGCCTGAAAATAAAAGAATGTGGTATTCTGAGCCAGTTGACATTTCAGGGGGAAAATCTCTAGCCGGTTGAAAATCAGCTTTTTAAAGTTCTAACATATTTCACATTTTATCCTCTTTCAAGAAAATTGGCATAAAATAGATGAATTTATCCCAATTTCCCTGGCCCTGTAGCAACCCTGTTAGAAATTGTAGGAGTTGCCTAAAGCTACATAGTTTGCCTGTTTATAAAAAACCAACATAATTTTCTTATTATCATTAGCAAAACACAGGAACTTACAGTTATGGCAGAAATAATATTTCATTGAAGTAGAGTTATGAAGTAGAATATTACTAATTCTACTACAAGAAATGAGTTTGCATAAATTCAGAGGGTAAATGTTAAGGAGAAAAAGATCATTTTGAAATTTCATATGCTTTCTATTACTTTCTATCAAAGGAGCAGGAACAGTAATAAGTGAGGATATATATGTCTTAAAGCCTTTTAATTATTGTAGAAGTACAGTGTTGTACTTTCCCCCCCAAGTATGAAAAATAATGCCAACCCTGATGTAAAATTGATTTATCTTAATGATATCTTTAGAATACAAAACATCAATTTTTAAAATATATATAATGAGAAGAGCAAATGGGCATATACTACATTTCATTGAGAATCATCCTTATTAATGCTAGATTATAGTTTAGTGACTTTTCTCCCCTATGTGGGAAATTATGTAAGAGGCGTCCTTGGTGCTCTCTGAGCTTGCTTGATTTCTTACAGATATTTCATTACCCAAACTAGGTAACATCATCAGTGCTGGTGTAAGAGACAGGAATTAGTTTATTTATTATTTATTTATACTCTGTCATCTCTCTGTCGAGTGACTCTTGAAAACAACAGTTCCCCTATCTGTTATGGACTATCCAAGTGGCAACTGCCATTGAAATAATAGTTTTTATTCCAACCATAAGAATGTAACATGCAGGTAAGGTCAGGCAATTAAAAAAATAAGAGTGAATCTAAATAGACATAAAGCCAGCAGAAAAAGGGAAACAAGTGATTCACAGTAACAGAATCATCATTACAGTTTTGTGATACAAAGTCCAACCCTTTTCTAAGTCCACGGAGATGTTACATGCATGCCTGAATGGGGCAGAGCTAGCAACATGTTGCTGCTTTTGTTTAGTGTACACCACTTGTATACACCAACTTCCTGATCAGCGCTAAAAGAAACAAGCAGATTCATTCACAATTCCCAACTGTTAACTGCAATTTATATGCAGATCTTTCACAATTTGAGACATAAATATTTCACATAATGCTAGAGTAATTTATATATTTTAAACCTGCATAGATTTTAACATAACATTTGTTTCATCCAGTAAATCTTGTTTATTTTTTAAATAATCAAGCTGAAACCTATCATAAAATATTTTCTTTCTTAGTATAACCTTGTGATCCAAATTTGCTTCATTTTGTACTTTGATTTCCTCAGGAATGTTCTATGTGTTTATGTATTTGTAGAGCTTGCTCACTAGTATTGGCCAAGTTATTTCTTCTGACTATTTCCTGCTTTATTTCTAGAAGAAAGATATGCAAACATTTTCATTTCGACCATGGTCCTAATGAAACCCCAAGTTTTGTCTTTCTAAATACAGTTTAACGTATATCAATTTAATCACTTTCATTGGGAAAAGAACTGCCTTTAAAGTAATTTTTTGGGGGTGTGGGAAGACATTTCTTTTAGCATTTTAGAAGAATGATATCACTAGATGATATTCCATTAGCAAATAATTGAACAAAGGAAATAGGATTTGAGACATTTTCTCCTTTTGGAACTTCAGTGAAATGCTCTTTTTAAAAGAGTAATAGCTAGAGGACAGTTATTTCAGCTACATTGTGCTATTTTCACCTGCACACACAGTTTGCTTTCATTACCAGAAGGAGGAGCACTTGATTCCAGTTTATAAAAGAAAAAAAACTGACGCTATGGAAGGGATCACTTTGTCATTGGTAGCTGCTTTGCTTAGAACATCAAGTTTTTGCATATGAGAATTTTGAGTCTGTAGAGTTGAACCATGGGATGATGCCATCATAGGAGGAACTACTGAGATTAGTTATCCTGCTGCCCAGACAAGAGGAAACTGCAGGATGTTGTTTCCCAATAGAAAGTGTAAAACTTCTAGGTCTGTATTAACATGTGGTTTATATTTGTATAAGAAAATTTTTACTCTGATTTTGTGTCTCGTTATTGCTTACTTTGCTTATTTCTTTTCTTATTTATGGTCCAAAACCAAGTTACAACATTTAAAATACAGCATACCATTAATATATACATATGTAATAATATATATGAGGGACAGTGCAATGGCTCAGTGGTTAAGATGATAGGCTTGTCAGATGAAAGCCAGCAACCTGGTTTGAGACCTGAGAGCCACATGATAGGGTGAGCTCCCATCCTCACCCCTGCTCCTTCCAAGCTAGCTATTTGAAAGCATGCAATGCAAGTAGATAAATAAGTACCACTTTGGTGCGAAGATAACAGCGCTCTATGATGTCATGCTCGCCACATGACTATGAAAATGTCTTCAGACAGCACTAGCTCAATGACCTTGAAATAGAGAGGAGCATCTGTAGTGAGCAATGGAATAAAATCTATATAGTGAGCAATGGAATAAAATCCACAGGTACTCCATACCTTTTTATAAGATAAAGAAATCTTATAAACAAATTATTTTTTCCTGTTTTATTTATTTTATTTATGCAACATGTAAAAAAAACAATTTCAGTCAAACAGTGTTGTCCGGGTACAATTATTTTTAAGAAATAATAATCAAATGTTTACAATGATATTCATCATAATAATACTATAATAACAATAATGTTTAACTTATCTACTTTAACAAGTCTCCTTTATAACATTTGTCCTGCATTTATATCCCCATATTTCTAACTTCTGTTTTTATTATCTAACCATTGGTAAAATGTCCCATTTCTGCACATTCTAATATTTTTTTTTATTATACTCTCATCTGTCAGGATCCCATTGCTTTTCCATTGTGCAAATAAAATTCTAGCTGCAGTTAATACATGTAGGATGCCCAATAAGAATATTTCTGGTTTCAAATCTATATGCTGCTTTATCATTTTTTCCAAACAAGTATGTATTTTTGTCCAATATTTTTTAGCTTTGGGGCATGTATACCACATATGGTAATGCAAACCAGGTATCTGATTACACTTCCAACATTTAGTGGACCTAACACTAAACATTTTTGCCAATCTTGTTGGTGAAAAGTGCCATATGTAAAACATTTTATACAAATTTTCTTTATGTGCAGTTGACATAGTTAATTTATTAGAAATCAACAATTTATTGAAGGCACTAACAGATTTCTATAAGCTGAGGTTATAATAAAATAAACACAAAGAAATTGATACTGCCTTCAAAACATCTGAGTATAGTCAATAGTTTAGTAGAGTCTTTCAGACTTAAGACCTGGTTTTTGGTTCTAATCACCAATCAGAGTGCAGTAGGCACATTAGGAGGATATTTGAAATAGACTCAACCTCTATATTTGAGCAAATGCATTCTCAATCTCCATATAGAAGTTTGGCATATCAGCCATCTGTCACTCTAGTAGAGAAAGTATCTATACAGGCTAGGGAGAAGTCCTTTTGTGCAGGACTTAGAGAATCTTGTAGAAGTAATTGAGTATCCAAGGGAAGAGACAATTCACCTATAAGAGAAATGGGGAAAGTTTTGTTCTCTCTATCTGAATGTCTAAATCTCATTCTCTCTGCTAAAAATTCTGCCAAGGTTTTTTCCACGCCTAAAACAAATAGGACTGGTACTGATATAGGCACTGCATTCACTCAGGATTGAAAAGTTTTTGTAAATATAGGCAGGAGTGGGATTCTACTGGTTCGGGCCGATTCAGATGAACCGGATGTTAATTTTACATCCAGTTCAGCAAACTTGTAGTTCTGAAGAACAGCTGGTCCTGCCCTGCCCACCCTGCCCTGCCCCTCGCAGGAGTCCCCTTGAGGCCCATCTTGCTCCCAGGTAAGTGTAGCGTAGCCTCCTGGGAGCAAAAATGGGGCATGGGGGGGTTCCAATGCCACCCCCACCCCGTTTTGGCTCCCAAGAGGCTCCAGGGAGGCTTTTTAGGCCAAAAATAAGGTGCAGGGAAGCAGATGGAGTGAGGGAGAGAAAAAGGAAAGGAGGGAAGGACCACAAACCCTAGCACTAGACGCAGCTTGAGAAGATGCTTTGAAACAGCATAGCAATCCAGAGCTGGAAGGGACCTCAGAGGTCATTTAGCCCAACCCCTTGCTCCAAGAACATTGTTAAAGTGAGTTTCTATCTTTTGACCCACCTAGTCACAGCCATGCCCACCCAGTCACGTGACCACCTAGCCACGCCCACAGAACCGGTGGTTAAAAAATTTGAATCCCATTCCTGAATACAGTTAATCCCTGATTTATGGCCACAGCTGAGCCCAAATTTTCAGTTTCAAGTGAGAGATTCATTGAGTGAAATTTGCCCCATTTTACAACATTTGGTTAAGTGAATCCCTGCAATTGTTAAGTTAGTGACACTGTTAAGTGAATCTGGCTTCCCCATTGACTTTATTTATTTTATTTTATTTATATTGCAGCCTATTCGGCCATGGCGACTCGAAGCGGCTTACACAATGTAAAACCATATTTAAAACAAAAAATAAAAATAAGAAACAATAAAAACTAACAAAAAGAATCAAATAAGTTAATAAAGTACAATAGAAGAAAATATGGGGGGGAACCACCCCCCCCAACTCCCACCTCCCACCCTGATGACAGCAGATCACACTAGCCATTTGATGGGCTCCATCCTGCTCTGGGTTCTCCAGGCCCTCTGGCAAAACCAGGTCTTAAGTGCCTTTCGAAAGAATGCCATTCTAATCTCTTGGCTTGTCAGAAGGTCACAAAAGATGATCACAAGACCCCGGGATGCTGCAATGGTCATAAGTGTGAAAAATGCTCATAAATCACTTTTTTCAGTGGCCTTGTAACTTTGAACAAACTCTGAATGAACTGTTGTCACTCAAGGATTACCTGTACATATCTGAGATCCAAAGTATTGCTATACTTAGTAATACATACTTTGTAATTATATAATTTTTCAACCAAACTGTCCCTTTGATAATAAGATGAGAAAAGCATGGAAAATGGAATGGCTTGAAAAGGTTTTGTGTGTGTGTGTGTGTAAGATACTTAATGCTTACGGCTTTAAAAACTAAATTAAACTAGTAAAACTGGAAAAATATTCTGTATAGGATTTGATTTTAAAATAATGTGAATGTTCTGAAGTATTTATTGTAGTTCTGCTTTTTTGCATTATTAGGCTCTGAAGCAAGTTTTATGCTGAAAGTCCGCCCACTGGAAAAATATCCTGTTGATCTTTATTATTTGGTTGATGTATCTGCTTCTATGCACAGACATATAGAACGATTAAACTCTGTTGGATTTGAATTATCTCAGAAGATGGAAAATATCTCCATTGATTTGCAACTTGGATTTGGATCCTATGTAGATAAAACAGTGTCACCCTATATTAGTATTCATCCAAAAAGAATCCATAATCAGTGCAGGTTAGTATTGTTAAAAATAGATATACATAATTCATGGATACATATTTATACATTCATTGTCTAATTCTCTTTTGGAAAAGTAGAGGAACAAATGAGTGCATTTGCATTCGCTTTATCTACTACAAGGTTTAGGTAAATATGTATTGTCATACTATAAAATGAAGCTTCAGATAGCTGATACGACTGGTAACATATTTTGTTTGATCCCAAAATTATAAGTTTCAGCTTTCCAGTACTATCTGTAGGTAGTCAAGAGAGCAATTGCAATGATGCAAACAATGCTTGTTTTTTATGTATATATGCTTTAAAAAAAATGACGCACCCTGGTCAGTGGCATCATTAGTTGCATTATCAACTAATTTTACTGTTCTCTTTGGATGCACCCATTTCATATTATTAATAAATAATATTAGTTGATAAAAATCATTAACTGTAATACTAATTTTGGAAACAAACTTAATTTGCACTTTAATTTTAAAAGTATTTTAGATTTCATTTGCTGATATATGTTTGGTAGTAGGTTATTGGCAAGAGAATGGAAATGATGTTTGTTTTTACTTAAGCTAAGAAGGGTAGTTGCACTTAAAATATTAATCATTGTTTTAAAGAAAAAATAAATATTTGTATTATTTTTTTCTTTACAAGTAGCATATTTCTAGTTTATATAATTCACTTCTGAGGCTGAAAATTAGAGGTGGATTTGTGAGGCCAGCTTACTTTCTCATAAAAGCCACAATTTTATATGGCTATACCGGGTGTCGGTAACCAGCGGCTCCAAAGCCACATGTGACCTTTTGAGCTCTCTGTTGTGACTCCCTGTCCCATCACTGGCTGGCCTCGCTTCTTGCCTTCCCCTCCCTCTCCTGGCCTGAGAAGGTAAAGGCAGTAGCGGGGGATGGCAAGATGACCGGGACCGATTCTCTGGCGCCTCACTCTTGCTGGAGCTTCTTCCAGTCCTTATTGGTGCTGGGCATGCCTTAGTTGCTTGGGGAGATGCAAAACCTGCTCTCCGCCCTGAGACACTGGCCTGACTTGGCTGCGACTGACACCAGCCTTACTAACATGAGTGCTGGCAGGGAGAGAATGGAATGTGGGAGGACGGGATGACAAAAAGGAGGATGGGCCCACAGTGCCTAGCCATGGCTTTAAGAAGCTCAAGGAAGTGGAAAAAGGGGGCCGGCCCTGCTGAACCTCACATGCCCACCAATGACGTCAGGCTCTCTCCTCCCCTCCCTCCCCCTCTCTCTCCTTGGAGCTCTTCTGTATTCCTTTTCTTTTTTTCTATTTTGCAATCTGGGCTGGCTGAGAAATTAGTGGAGGCTTCCCTCTTCCTCCTCCCCCTCCTTCTGTGGCAGGGCCAGGAGGGTGCACACAAGTGGTGAGACCTCAAGCGAGTGCCCCCCCTGCGAGCGCCTTTGCTGCGCTTTGGCCAAGCCCAGCCACTCTCTTGAGGAGTGTCTCCCTGCTCGTACACACCCTCCCGGACCTGCCACACCAGGGGGTCATGAGAGGAGAAGGAGGAGATGGAGGAGAAGAGTCACCCAAAGAAGAGGTGGTACTCAGCAGGTTCTGACCAGTTCTGAAGAACCAGTAGCGGGAATTTTGAGTAGTTCGGAGAACCAGCAAATACCACCTCTGACTTGAGATTTTACAGTATCCTTCCCCTGCCATGCCCACCAAGCCACTTCCACAGAACTGGTAGTAAAAAAAATTGAATCCCACCACTGGCCCAAAGGGAAGCCTGCGCTGCAGCTCATACTCGTTCCTTAGCCAGCCCTGATTTCCAAAAAGTTGCCAAGAAGAAAGAAAAGAAATTGCGAAGAGCCCCACAGACAGCTCGCTTGGCCCAGCCTCTCTTTCCAAGAGAGAGGGAAGAGATGCAGAGACAGCAAAAGTACAAAAGAGAGAGATACAGAGAGAATGGGAGAGAGAGGAAAGTGGGAGAGAGAGACCGATAAAGACAAAGAGAGGGGGAGAGAGATACAGAGAGGGTGCGAGAAGGAGACGGGGAGATATAGAAACAGAGAGAAGCAGAGGTGGGATTCAAATTTTTTTACTACTGGTTCGGTGGGCGTGGCTTGGTGGGCATGGCAGGGGAAGGATACTGTCAAATCTCCATTCCCTCCCCACTCCTGGGGGAAGGTTATTGCAAAATCCCATTCCTACCCCACCCCACTAACCTGCTTTCTTTCCATTCTGCTGTGCAGGGCAACCAAAGAAGACCCAGCCGATCAGCTGGGACTTGGGAGGCAGAGAATAGATGGGGGCAGGGGCAGTCAGAGGTGGTATTTGCCAGTTCTCCAAACTACTCAAAATTTCTGCTATCAGTTCTCTAAATCTGGTTAGAACCTGCTGAACACCACCTCTGGAGAGAAGGGGGGAGATAGGGAGAGGAGAGAGAGGGGGGGGGAGATAAAGAGGGAGAGGGAGAGAGAGAGAAGGGTTTTGTGGTTTTTTAACAACCGGTTCTCTACCCTAATGACCGGCTGGGTAGGCGTGGCTAGGAGGGGTCATGTGACTGGGTGGGAGTGAGTGACATCCAGTTGGCCATGACCACTCAGGTTTGTGGCTCCCAGTGGTTTTTTTTTTCTGTGGGAAACAGATCCAAATGGTTTTTTTGAATGTTTAAGGTTGCAGACCCCTGGGCTATATTGTACACATTCAGAGAGATATTTTTAAAATTGGCTACTTCTTTTATCTTTGTAGAGACTTTGCTACCAAGTTAAAATAATTGACATTTACTCTCATACATATCCTTAGGATATGCACATCCCCAAAAATAAATAAAATAAAAATGTTTTCCCCTCTGAACTATGCTGATATAACCAAGTCATAGGGAGAAAGTTGAATTAATGGAAGACTTCTTAAATAAAAGAATTAATAATAATCTTGCCAGTGAAGAGCAAAGATAATTCCTATCTCTGTTTATGAGCCTAGAAGTTATGAGTATAATGTTATAAATCTCTGTTTGCTGTGCTACTACATACAACTATTTAAAATTTCTCTGTTGGCATTACAAGTTACTATTCTTTGATTCCAAATAGTGATTATGAACTTGATTGTATGCCACCGCATGGTTTTATTCATGTTTTATCGCTGACTGACAAAATATCAGAATTCAGAAGTGTAATTAATAAGCAGAAAATCTCTGGAAATATTGATACACCTGAAGGAGGCTTTGATGCTGTGCTTCAGGCAGTGGTTTGTCAGGTAAGTAATAACAGACAATTCGATGTTTTGTTTTACTCTTTGGGGGATGATTTAATCTTGCAATGTTGAAATGTTATATGTGATTATAATTATTTATGCAATTATGCTCCTTTCTACTGCAGTTTACATGCTTTAATGTATTTATAACCCCCTTTTTGCCTTCTATAACCATCAAAATGTTTTTGAGGATATATTTACATTGAAGCTTTGGATTCAAAGAAATTGTCCTTCAAATGAAGGATTTGATACAACCAGCAGTGTTTCAGATTCTTCATTTAAACACTTTTCAGTTAAATTGGATCACCATAGTGGAGTTTCTGGTCTACCATGTGACCTTTTCCCTTGGTACCTGATGTGGGTAGTATAGTATTTTTGTTTAATTAGGGGCCATTTCATTTTCTCAGTCATTTTTGTGAATTGGACATATTAATTCCCCAAGGCCATAGTGTCCTCAGAATTCCAGATGTGCCTTTGATAATGGGATATATGAATGATTTTTACAAGCAGTACAATATTTCCTAATAATTGTATTTTTCCTTACATAGCTTAACATTTGTTTATTTATTGCAGAGCCATATTGGTTGGCGTAAAGAAGCAAAGCGTCTACTTCTCATGATGACTGATCAGACATCTCATTTGGCTCTTGACAGTAAATTAGCAGGGATAGTAATTCCAAATGATGGAAAATGCCATTTGAAAGAGAATATGTATATCAAAGCAAACAGTATGGTAAGGTATATGTCATATAATGCAGTGTTATTTTTGGACTAATTCCTAAAGCATTAGAAATATCTTTGTGGGAATCATGTTCTGAGAGATAGGAACTTCTGCTCAAACTATCTCATTCAAATTATTTCCTGGTTTTGATTGATCAGAGAGAATACCTAATACATTTGTTTTTTGTCAGAGTTGCAAGAAAAATATAGAGCAAAGTCTTTCTCTTAGATCCTAGGGCAGGTGTGGGATTCAACCAGTGTTACTACTGGTTCGGTGATTTATGTTTGGTGTTCATTCAGAAAAACACTGTTCAGAATTTTTAATTACTATAGCATCGTATTTCTTTAATATAAAAGTATTTCATTGCTTGCTTCTAAGAGTTTCAAAACTTAAATATGCTAAAAAATGGAAATTGAAAATCTAGTGAAAAGGCCTATTTATTGAACAAATAGCATAAATTGTAGTTTGTAGCTACATTGTGTGTTCATTTTCTCCATTCTGTATGAAGTTTGAAAACAAAGCTGGTAGATGGCCTTTTAAATCCCCAGATTTAAATATTATTTAAAATTTGTAGAAAGATATGAAACATGCACAGTCTGAAAGGAGAGCTAAAATATTTCTGAGATAGAAGAATTCTACAAATAATTGTAGTTAAAAAATACTCCAGAGTCTAGACAAACCCTTTGCTGGTTTCAGCGAACATTTAGAATCTGTAATTAGTCCAGATAACTCACTGAAAGGATGTTCAAAATTTTGTACTTGCATTGAATGTTTTCTTATCTGTAAAAAAAGTGCCAACTTTATGCTGTTTAAAAATGTACCAGCATTTATTCAAGTAAGAATTCATTAAAACGTTGACCAGGGCTACCTTTTCTTTTAATGCAACTATATGTTCAGCAACTTTTCAATCATAAAAAGCTTGGTGACCAGCTCCGTGTTTTGATTTGGCATTAAATCTTGCCTGTCCATATACTTTACCTCCTGCTAAGAATTTGGCATACACAATAGAAGACTTACACAAGATTCAGCTAAATTAGGCTCTTTATTGCAAAAAAGAACAAAGCCATGTATGCACAGCTGAATCACTGCAGTGCAAAAAAGTCAAACTTTTTATGTAGTCTGTCTCCCAGAGCTTAAGCCATTTTCTTCTGTCTTTTCAAGTAAATGGCTGCTTAGCCGGACTCTTGACAGTCATAAGAAGCAGCTGGTAAATGTTTACCTAACAGTTCTCTGGTTTCTGCCTTGCCAGCTTTGGCCCTTATACTTGGGATGATAAATAATACTTTTATAACTCAACTATGCTACTAAGCAAGTTAAAAAAATACTATCTTGTTAAAGATTAGATTGTGGGCTATTATATGAAATGGATGATTTATACAAAATTATCTCACTAGGAAATTTTGTAGCCTCTCCATTACTGGGCAATGGTTGTGGCGATGGTTGAATTTTATTACGTGTTCATAGATGGTTAGTAAATGGTATGGAGGGCCCTGGTCATAAATTAAATGTGTGTATATAGTTTGTTATTTTTTAAAAAGAATAGGAATTATTAAAAAATTGTTTACATTCATGTATATATGAACATACATTAGTTTATTTAAGTAAAATGTTAGAATTGGTAATTACAATAATCCACATTATGAATCTACTTTCTGATTTATAGGAGTACCCATCACTTGGCCAACTTTCTGAAAAGCTCGTAGACAACAATATTAACGTAATATTTGCAGTCCAAGGAAGCCAATATCACTGGTATAAGGTATATTTAAAAATAAAACAATTATGTTAGTCGGGGACAAGATATACACTGGCATTATAAACATAAACTAATATTTTCACAGGATCTTTTGCCTCTGCTACCAGGAACTGTTGCAAAACAGATAGAATCAGAGACAGCAAATCTTGGGGATTTGGTAGTAGAAGCTTACAAGGTATGTTCCAGTGACAGTAATATATCATTATAATATAGTGTTTATATATTGTTTATTTTTCAGAATGTTTATTGAAGTTAATATTCTGTAGATTCTACATGTACGATACAGGAAGATGTTCAATAGGTACATGTATCTCTGTAAAATATAAAATACAATTCCCTTTATAAATTAATGTCGTTGCAGTTTTTGCTTTAAGCAATTGCTTTTTGCGATAACAATTAGAACTGATACATGTACAATAAACTGAATAAATATTATTAAAGGTTCTACAACTTTCATTATCAGTGAGGATCTTTTTAACATTGTGAAAGAGCCATTGGACTGTTTTCAGAATTAAACTAAAAATCCTGCAGATGTTTTGGAATTCAACTCAACTTCCTTTAACCTCAGATAGCTTGGTTTATGGCAGGATTTGGGAAGGTATGTTCCAAAAAATCTGGAAGGCAGACTGCCTACCTCAGTACTGTTAAAGAAAAATCTTAGTATTTCCTAGTATTCCTTTTTACACATTTATTTTTCTGTTTCCTCATGCCAATTTTCAGTTAGGTTGTGCTATTCGTATTGCTAGTAGTATTTTATTATGCATGTATATAACATTTTTATCATAGACAATTCTTACCATATCTATGATTTTTCTGTGATTCATATAATTTAGCATTTTGTTCTTCAGCATTAATATGTGCATTTGACCATGATATTTTTGTTATTATATAATACACAAACACATTTTGCTTAATAAATTTGTGTTGTTATATTTATATTATGAAAATTCCAGCAATGTTTTTATTTCTTCTTCTCCAAAGGGGAAAAATACCTACTTAAAGCCACTGAATATGCAGCACATATATGATATATGCAATTATTGTATGGCATTGTATGCAAATTGAAAAATATGTCATTAGGTTAGTAACTGTTTTAGAAAAACTTACAAATGCACTTCATGCTTTATGATTCAATCCAGCATGTTTAAAAGAGTAATTTGTAACAATCTATATGTTTAAAACTGTATATTTTATTTAATGGAAGTTGATCAGTGAGGAAGACTACCATATGATCCATCCCCCATCCCCTTTTTACATTCTTGCTTTTTGAATGACACACACACTTCTGCAGCTGTTCTCGTTTCTATGTGCTTTAGGTGGTATTGGTGGAAAGGGTTGGACATCAGTCAGGTGACAAACTCTCATAATCTTGAACTAATAGCAGACAAGTCAGATAAGTTGCTCTTTAATACGTAAGTACTTATTTACACGTAATGTCCAGTTAAGAAGGTAATATGAGAAATTGCCCTGTGGCATCAGTATGTAAAGGAAGGTCATGCTAAGTATTGAATCGCACAACTGTGAAAACAAAAATCTGTGCAGAAAACAATTGTCTCCTTTATTCCTAGTCTGATGGATTATTTCATTCTGATTCAATTGAGTAGAGCTTTCTAATAGGTAGTATATGTTGCTGCTGTAGTATCATTATTTGTATTTTGCTCTTATTTTATTTCAGAAGCTGCTTTCTGAAGTGAAAATTCAGGTTGATAACACCCTCAAAGATATACACGTCAAAGTTACTGCAATCTGTCCCGATGGAAGTAGAAAAATGGGTTCAGAGGGATGCAAGAATGTGAAATCCTCAACTGAAGTATGAACATTTCTTTTTTTTAACAAGGGAGATGAAATATTTTGTTATTGTGGACATTTTTCAATAGAAGAAGGCTTTCTGCGGATTTAAAACTGCATTTCAGAGGATTAAAGTTCTTATGTTCCCCATGTATGTGCCATGGATTAATTTTTTTGGAGCTTTATTTTAAAAATCTTAAATCAAAAGGTTTATTCTTAGACTTTCCAATAAGCTCAAATCAAGTTAATGTTTATTTTCTAGAATTCCTCTATGTTCTTCTCAAATCGTCGTAAATACTCATACATGTTACCAAAAGTCTTACTAACTTGAAGTCATTTATTTATAAGTGGGAATGGCAAATGGGTTAAGCTAGCATTTCTCTTACAGAACAGTGAAATTTAGGAATCAATCAGAACAGAATCAAAACCAAGAGTCCCTCAGTAAAAAAATAGAAGTACAATATCATTTATCCAAAATGCTGGTTTCCCATCTCCGCAATAGTTCAGTTATGAAGTATGAAACACAACATGCTGGTTGACATTGCCTTTTGTGTTATTATAATTATAATGAGTAATATTATTAGACATAAAGCCAGTGGTAGAGTGTGTAAAAGACATGGGAACTGAGACATGTTAGAATTTAGAAACAAATCTGTAGGTGTAGTTTTGGATTACAGTAAGATACCCAATATAGTCCATCATAACTGCTAACTTAATAAACTTATTTAACCTTGGGGGGTGGGAGGAGTTCAATTGTCAGGGCAGAAATCCATAGTTGGTTTCAAATCAGTACAAAAGCCTCACATGCATTTCCCCATAATCTCTATTAAGACATTTTATATGATGTAGTAATTTATATTTTTAATCATAGGTATTCTTTAATATTTCTATTGCCATGAAAGAATGTGGTACAATTGGCAGAAGAAACCACATGATGATAAAACCCCTTGGTTTCAATGAATCCTCTAGAATTAACATCCACAAAAGATGTGCGTGTCAATGTGAGGACAGTGCAAAACACAAAAAAATCTGCATCAATGAAACCCCTCATGAGGATGAAGTATCTCCCTGCAAAGATGGAATCTGTGGTTCTAGTGAAAAATTATCTTCGGAGCAATGTAAGAAGCAACAGGATCATCATCTTTGCAGTGGACAAGGAGAATGTGTACACGGGAAATGCGTTTGCTATAAAAACAAATACGGTACAATATATGGTAAATACTGTGAAAAAGATGATTTTTCCTGCCCATATTACCTTGGAAACCTATGTGCTGGTAAGGTTGGAATTTTTTAATGCTTTATTCATATTTTAGTCTTTGTCATATGATTTATAATCTTTCTTAATACTAAGTCCCAGGCTAAGAAGTATATTCTCTCTCTCCCTCACATCCACACACCCACAGTTACTTTCTTGTAAAGCGCTATTGAAATACAGAATTGTATAAGCAAAAATAGATGTGGTAACAATGTTCTAGATCCCCCCCCCAAAAAAAACATTCTAATCTAGACATTGCAGAATTGATTTGCCGTTTTTTGAAAGTAATTCCCCCAGTTCTGGAAGTGGGTCTTGACCATGTCTAAAAAGATTGGCAATGTTTATATGCAAGAAGAGAAAGAATTTGCAATTATTTTAAAGAATGTACACTGCAGCAAAGAAAAAACAGGATCATTTAAAAGAGATGTTTAACTGGCAAACCTTAATTAAGTTGAACAAGATTTGGAGTAATAGTATATACGAACAATAAGGCCTGAGGTGACAGTACATTTTTAAAGATAATAGCTATTTTGTTGTGCTGGATAAAGCAATTGAAAGTCAGTGAATGAATCTAAGAACTTTGATGCTTTGATGTTAAAATGCTACTTACAATTTACATCAAGTGTATTGTGCAGCTACAAAGTCTCAGCTGAATCAAAGACATTTGTCATATTTTAAGTATTTTCATCATGAAAATACTCTTTATAATGAATTTGAATGACATTTGTTCTAAATAGTCTACCTAAAAATATATGGAAGAACCAAATGAGACTTCTAGCAAATAATGTAATCAGGTCTTCCTTCCTTCCTTCCTTCCTTCCTTCCTTCCTTCCTTCCTTCCTTCCTTCCTTCCTTCGTAGGCAATGGAGAATGTGAAGCTGGCAAATGCAAGTGTTTTAGGGGCTGGGAAGGTGACCGTTGTCAGTGCGCCTTATCTTTGCAGAAACACTGCATGAACCCAAATGGCCAAATCTGCAGCAAAAGAGGAACTTGTGTGTGTGGGAAGTGCAAGTGTGCTGATCCGAACAGCTTAGGTCGTTTGTGTGAATTTTGTCCTTCTTGTAGAAAAGTTTGCAGTGACATGCGGTAAGTCTGTCGTTTTGGAAATATTTATCTTTTTTATTTTTTAAGTGTTCTAAATTCAAATATATTAAATACTCCATGAACTTTTTGTTCACAAAGTAGTTTAATTCTATTTTTAATCTTTCTGGGTGTTTCAGGGAGAGAAAACATACCAATTGTCTGTGACATAGTTTGTGGGCTTTTGACTTTCAGGAGAGTAGATTAATTGCAATGAGGAGGATGAAAAAGAAAGGAAGGAGGAGGCATCTTAAAATGAAATGCCAAGAGAAAAATAGCATTGTCTGGAGTTGCCATTCTCATTCATTATTTACTTGAAAACTTTTAACAGTTGCTTATCTCATAAAGTGATTCTAGGTGGCTCAAAAGAATCAATAAAAACAAGAATAAAAGTAGAAGAATAAAAATGCTAATCCTTCCCACAAGACAGACCAGCCAAACTATTGACCTCCTCACTAAATTCCCATCCTAGCTCAATGTTTGGGTGAAGAGCTTGGTCTCCAAGACCTTCCAGAAAGCTAAGAGTGAGGGTCCCTCAAATCAGGTGGAAGGCTAGGATGGTTACAGAGAATTGTATGCCTCCAAAGTCCCACCAGATGACAACCTTTGGGGAAGAGATTTGGAGTGTTTTAAAGAATAAATATTTTGTTTTGTAATCAGAACACCTTAAAAAGATCGGTCAGATCAACTTTCTCCAAACTTGTTTTCAAAGAGCTGAATGTTCAAAGCTCTATGTCCTTGCCATGATAGAACTGGGAAGATGTATAAATATATAAATACTACTGATAACCTGGCGTTGCCCGGGTATTTATCCCAATTCTGTATTAAACAGGAAAAGGAATGACTTGTATCTCCCGGAACAAGAATAAATAAATTTATTTATCCCTCTTTCTCTCTATGTCTCTGGGCTTACCAGGTGCCACAGTCCACCACGCAGGCTGAGAAGGGCACACCTGTGGTGTGCTGGGGGGCAGCAGCAGTGGAGGTGGGGTGCTGGGCAAACTGCTTGAGGAACTCATGCAGGCAGACATAGAACATGCCCAGGCAGCAGACGTGAGCAAGGCTCAGGTGCTGGAATGGCAGCATCTCTGGGGATACCTGCAGGGGAAGAGGAGGAGGAGGAAGCCCATGGAGGGAGAGAGGGCCACCCCCTCACCCTGCCACTGTGCCCACCTGCAGGCCTCCATCCAAGAGGCCACTCAGTGCCAGTAGCAGCTTGTGGATCATAGTGCTGCATAGGGACACGGTCTGATCCCTCTTTGCAGGAGCCCCAATGATGCCCCCAGCTTCCTTAGGCCAGATCCAGCTCTGGGCACTAGACCGGGCCCTCTGGGAACCCCATTGTGTGCTGAGGAGTCCAGGTGAAGTCTCACTTGCTGCTGCTGAGGTGCCTGGACTCCCAGTGACAGGACTCTCTGTTTAGTCCTTCAGGCACTTAGCTTGGCAGCCTGTTTAATAGCTTCAGATCCTCCCTCCGAGTGCCTTGTCAGAGCTGCTTTGGGTTTTACATGCACAAATGTCAGTTGCTTGGAGGGGGGGTTGGCAGCTGGGCAGAGGAGCGCTGAAATGCCAAAATGGCCTCAGGAGAGGCTGGGCAATGTGAAGTGGTGGGGAGGGGAGGGGCGAGCTGCGAGGCGGGGCCAGCGGGGTGATTTAGCCGGTTTGCCAAACTGCACACAGACACACATACAAACCCCGTTAGGGGTGTCCACAGTATTTGTTTCCAGAGAGTAAGTCATCTGTGAACCAAGTTTGGTTCAAATTGTCGAGGCATTCCAGAGTTATGCTGAAACACACACACACACACACACACACACATTTATATATATAATATAGATAATAATATAATGCTTGTGTTGTCTGTTTCAAGCTCAACATACTTGATCTATCTCATCAGAGTCCATTTAAATGAGGTGGTATTGAGAAAGTCTGATGTGAAATGATGATTGTTGCATAAAGTGAACTTTGAAACACAGTGTTGCAACATAGATTCCACCTTCCCATCCGAGGATCATTGCCAAGCAGTGAGCTGTGGCATAATGAGCATGGCTTCCAAGAATGACAGGATAAATTATAATATTTCTTGTGAAGCCTCTTCTATTTATAGCTAGCTGAAATCCTGACGATGACATATTTGATTTCAAACAATTTCCTTGATTAAGTAGGAAATAATAATTCTTATTCTAACTGGTATTGATAGCATGAATCAGTGCACAGATTTACTCCATAATATTTTTTATTGCTATGAAGTCCAGAGAAAAAAATAAAATTAAAGGCTTGGTCTGCTTAATTTTGTCTTACAGCAATTGTGAATCCTGCCGACACTTCAACTCTTCACATAACACACTTGGCCAATGCAAAACCACTTGCAATTATAGAATGCATTATCTTGAAATATCAGGTAGGCATAAAAATACCAACTTAATTATTTATATATCAACTTTCTTCAACCTAATTATTAAAATAAATTATTAGACTTTTCATAGCTTTTACTTGGTATAAGTTTTAAGAAAGAGTTTGTTTATGAAATATTTCTTCATCCTCAGATATGAATTTGCCTGATGTGCAATTTCTTTTAATAGAACTCATAGTTAAAAATAGATACTGTCTATAAATTAATGGCTGTAGATTAATTTCCAACTGTAATCAAATTATATATTTTAGTGCAGCTTTTTCTTGTTCTGCTCTTTCTTTCACCAGCATGTTGCTTAGATTTTTTTCTCCTCACATATGAATCACATTCAGTTTTGAGTTTGATTAAGAAAACTCAGAGGAATGTTTATAAATATATATATATTAATGCTTTAAATGTTCTAAGACGAGTATCTTTTTCCCATGGAAAGCAATACCTAATAACTGTAATAGGTACAAGGTACTCTATTTTTCAGAGTATAAGACACACTTTTTCCACCCCTAAAAGTGGGTGGAAATGTCTGTGCGTCTTATACAGCAAATGTTGCTGAAACCCTGTCCACCCTTTGGCCTCTGCTTCCCAACAATTTGCCTCCTTGCAGCAAACAGCCACGTTCAGCTTCAGCACAGCCTGATTAGTTGATTGTCACTTGGATTGGCCTCCTGAGGATCAGCTGTTTCAGCTGTGCAGGGATTACCGTTGCCTCCGTGAACCCCATTTTTGGCTTCCACATTCCATTTTTGGCCTCTGCGCACCTCATTTTCTGCCCATTCTGATCCCCGCTGCCCGGAATAGGCTGAAAATAGGGCGCCTGGAGGCCAAAAATGGGGCGCGCAGAGGCCACAGTAGGCTGTGGCAATCCTTGCAGCCTGATCATCGGGAGGCTGTGCTGAAACTAAAACAGACTGTTTGCTGCAAGGAGGCAAATTGCTTAGGAGGCAGAGGCAGATTTTTTTTCTTGTTTTCCTCCCCAAAAGCTAAGTGCATTTTATACTTCAGAGTGTCTTATAGCCTGAAAAATATGGTAAATATAATATTTTAAAAATGTTGATTATTAAACAGTCTGAGACCTTTGAGAATTAATTTTATTACTGGCAAAACTGGCCAGAATAATTCAAGAAGAAATAGATTTCTCAGATCATCATTATATATTGTCATTTCTGCATGTAAGGCTGTCCTTATTGCACATCACCTATTGAAAGAAAATGTGCAGCTATTTTTTAACTTTACGAAAAACTAATCTTGTTCTTTCTAAGAATTTTTTCAATGTACAAGTGCCACTTGTAGAAGCTTATACTTCCTTAGGCAAAATATCATATTGATGATCATTCCAGTTCTATTAGTGTCTATATGTGGTAGGATCCACTTGGGACTCCTAGGCCTTTTTAGAATAATAATTAAGGTGTTCACTACATTTAGATCTAGTTTAATGTTGTTGTCTTTTATGTTATCTAGGACTAAAAAAGAGTAACTGGCCCAAAGTCACCAAGTATGACACCATACTTTGGGCCAGTTACTCGTTTTGATCCTAGGAAGAAAGCAATAGCAAACTACTCCTAAAAGTCTTGCCAATAAACCTGTGAGTTCTAATCCAAGAAATTAATCACCAGCAGTCACCATTGATTTGAAAGCACAAGTATAATTGTCCAGATAATTGGTGTACTCAGCTGACTTTAGTTAATCACAGAATGTTAAATTAAACCCTATAGTACGTATGTAGATGGGGGATTTTGAAGAAACACACTGAAAGGCCTATTGTCATTTTCTTACTATTTCCCAGAAATTTCATTGATACCATCAAATTGACCATGTCTGTCAAGTTGACTTGAATAAAATTTTATTTTACGTATCAAAAACAACTTAGTTACTTAGTTACTAGAGTAATAGTAGACATGGGTTTTAAAGGAGATTCTAAAAAACTCTTAGAAAATAATTGGCAGAAAAAAAGGCTCATGTAGAATGGAATGCAGTCCTCCAATTAAAGGCAGTTGACTAATTGGCTTATGAAATATTTCTTTATTTTAAGATCTACAGGAGCACTCTTTTAACTATATTTCAAGATTTAGAGGCAATCTTTTATGTGTGTCCTTCTGCAAAGATTTCAAGCTATATGTATGTGCTCCTTAAGATGGGCATTAACAACACTCATTCTTACAAAATAGTAAAAAAAAAAACCCTCTTTGACTAAATCAATAATTTTGTTGTTTCTCATTTTGTATAATTTTTGTGTGACCTTAAGAAGTAACTATATTTCAGCAGAAAGACTGGATGTACTTCAAACAATAAATAGTTCGTTATTGGTTTATTCAAATTTATTTTTAAAGGGTTGCTCTTAACATGAAAAAACTTTGTCAATATAAATTGGTTAGTTAACTAGTTGACTTAGTAAGATTCTGCAGTCTAAATATGAATGTGATGGTCAGTTTTTATTTTTGTTGTTATTTTGTTTCATTGCAGAATGCCTTTCTGATGATCCAAGTTATTTCAGAATATTTTTCATTATATTTATAATAACATTTTTGATTGGTTTGCTTAAAGTGTGCATAATCCGTCAGATAATTGTATATTGTGACCATAGTAGAATCAAGTCTTCAGCAGGTTACAGAGTGCCTGCAGCCAAAAAGGTAACTGATGATCATTTTCTTGAATATAATTATAATGCTATTTGTGCCAGCCTTCTAACCAGCTATATTTTCTCCTTCAAGGATAAGACCTTTTTGCCTACTGTTTGTGCAAAAACAGTAACTTACCGGCGTGACAAGCCTGAAGAAATAAACATTGACAGGAGACAAGTAAACGAAGCATTCAAATGTAGCTCTTGAAGACAAGAACCTATTTCTTGAGGACTTTTGTTTTCTTAAATGTTTTTTAAAAATATATTGTTTAATGCTGTGGAGTTTTACAATTTTGAACACTGTAATTTAAAAAAAACTAACTTGGAGTTCTAGTTGCACACTGCCGGGGTTTCAGAAAGAGCTGCTTGTTCAAAACAAAAACAAATGTGCATTAACTACTGTTTAATGTAATTAAAATACTGGTTGCAACTAAGATGCATTTGGATTAGCAGCCAGTTGAATCCCATTTGATAGTGTTAGAATAACATTGGCTTAATGGAAATGTTCTGGAACTTGGATTTTATATCGATTTCCAAGGCCATTCGGTATTGTAGCACTTTAACATAATATAACTTATTTAGTTGTGTTATAGAATATTAATTAAAACATTTGTGGTAAAAATGCACTGTTCTCACTTTAGAAATAGCTAACATGGATGAGGATTAGAATCACAAATTCCCAAATCTCATTCTAGAAAACTGTAACTGACAGAAATCAATAAATCAGCTACCTATGGGTCTTCCTATTCTGAACATTCAGGACAAAGTGGAAGCAGGAAGAAAACAAATGAATTTTAAAAATTGTTAGAAGGTACAGTTACTCTTTATTCTTCCAACCTCGACGGGTAGCAAGCCCAGGATTTTCTAATTGCACTAGTTTCAAAGAAAGTGAAAAAGTATGCTTTTTCGCTCAAAATATATGAAAGTAATTGTCCCAAACATATTTTATATGGCAGTAATTGTCATGGAACATATTTCCATGGCAATATTGCTTGCCAATGTTCAGAAATGGTTAGAGGAGTCTATTCTTCGTGACAGCTGAGTGTATCTTAGAACAGGGGTCTCCAACCTTGGCAACTTTAAGGCTTGTGGACTTCAACCCCCAGAATTTCTCCGGAATTGTAGTCCACAAGTCTTAAAGTTGCCAAGGTTGGAGACCTCTGTCTTAGAAGGCATCACTTGTCTGGGGAATATGATTTTAAAAAAGTAAGATGGTGGCCTTGACGATAAAAAGAAGGTTTTTGTCTGCATCAAGCACCAGTGTGGTCATCATCTTTATGGTTTTGATTTTTTTACTATAGTCTGCAAACACCCTGTTTCCAAACGAAGCACAAATCTTATGAGTCAGGAAATTGATCACTATATAATGTGTATTTACTTTCTTATTTGTATTTAGTTTGCTTCAAATTGGGATAGATATTTTTTCCTGTAAAAGATAGGATTAAATGTAATGAATTTTTAAAATTAAAATGTTATAGTCAAATACAGCGAATTCTTCATTTGTTATGCAAAAAAATATGGTAAAGTGTGTTCAGTTGGAGTAATTTTTTATTGCTTTTGTTCAGAAAAAGGAGAGGGGACAAATTTGCCAGATCAGAATAAATCTAGATCATGACTCTGATGGTATGATCCAAATTAAAGCTACTCAACTAAAATGAAAATTAATATATTTAAGCCCCAAATTTTACCTGGAAGAAGTCCAACTGAATTTATTAGACAAGCTTAATTTTTGGCTAAGCATAGAGTATATAAAGTAATATTTAAGACTTAATCATACATGAACTTCCCATCCTAATACAATGTTGATGGCATTTCTGTTGGTATCTTATACTGATAGCGATTTCCAGGCCAATTTGAATATCTGAAAATGTGCACATACCCCATGGATTATTTTTATTTTTTAATTTTAACATAACTAGGAAATTGGGCATATGCTCTATTAATGCTTAAACTGCACAACTGCAGAACAAATTCTATTACTGGAAAAATGTATGTGTGGTTTTAGTTGGATTGTCCTCAAGTCCCTATTTTGCACGCTAATGAAAAGGTACTAAGTGTTAAAATATTTTGTCTAGTACAATATCTAGAATTTCTGATCAGGCTTTTCTACAGTTTCCTATATAGATACAACTAAAATAAACCTAACTGAAAATGTATATTTTATAGTGTTTCCTGATGCTTTTGTATACTGTATATTGTTCTGTTTCCTTTGGGACTGTTTCCAAAAAGGTGAATCAGTCATGTTTTTGTGGATTTAGATTTTACTATGTAGATTCTTTCTAGGAAAGAAGTATGCAGAGGACAATATCTTATCAAATTAATAATTTTAAAAAGTTGAATTCCTATTCTGTTTTACTAAATACTTTGTAGTGTCTGTGACTAATTCTTGTTTCCATTTATTTATTGATTTGTCACTTTAGTATATTGTGAGAAAGTCTATTTTTCTATGAGAGGTATAATAGTTTGACATTAAATTAATACTAGATTATGCAGTCTCAATTATTGTCTCTAATCAGTGTTTGAAGTTTGTTATTTTTCTGTAACAATAAAATTTTAATTAAATAAAATATCAGCATCAAGTTTGCAATCCTACATGTCCTAATATCAACCATAGTTTGACAGAAATAAAATCAATAACATTTTGATTTTATGGACAAAAATCCAGAAGTATCACCAAAAATGGGCAACTTTTGAATCACCTCTCCCAACAATGTCTCCTGAAGTATCCATCAGCATTTTTATTCAGGGCTTTTTCCATTCTCCATGCCATTTCTGCCCTAAATATCTGAATTTTGGTCCATTATCAGAACAGAACCTCTTTTTGTTCTCCATATGGTCCAAAATGTGACTACCCCAATCCACCTGCTGAATATATGGAAGTTTTGCAAGATACATTAAACATTTTGCAAGATGTGGGTATGCTTTTTAAGAGAACCATTGATCAAAGAATTACACAATCTCGTGCCTACCCATTCTCCCATTAACTATAACAAAGAATAATGACATGATAGTTTGTTGACATACATTTAACTGTATATAGACTATGCATTGGTGATTAAGTCTCATTGTAGAAACCTTCTTTTCTCATCTTTTTTAACTAGTCATTTCTTCATTGAAAAGTTGTTTATTCTTCTCTTGAAAATCTGAGTCATGAATGCAAGGCTTGTCATGCACAAAAGATCAAGAGTAAACATGAAGTCCCAATTGAAATGACTTATTGCTCATGGCGATGCACAGGAATCTACTCAACTAACAGCACTATTTTGGTGCGAAATAAGGGTTGATGGAATTCCAGGGGGGTTGGATTTAACCCATTTGTGGTTGCATAGAGATTCTAGGCTGATTCCTCTTTCAACTCTATTCCCCAGATTCTGTTACTCCTTCCCTTACTGTCTCAAATTGTCCATTGTCTTAAACATCTGGCAAGTCATGCTTTTGACTATTAAGCCTATTTCCCATCTTTGCTAATATATCAAGTTAAAGCAGCATATACTAATCCTTTGATCATTTTCATTTTTTTAACTTCACAACTTTGTGAAGTAGATGGTGCTGATTGATAGCAATTCATAGCGGTATCCACAGAGCATGATCAAAACAGTTAAGATGGCAGCCATGATAATGTGATACCTAATTGTTTTCTGCATCACACCTTTGCTGGTGAATTGCCATAGTTAAGAGTATATTTGATGCCTTTACCACAACACCATATTGTTTGGAATATGATGTTTGCAATTTATCAGGATGTTAGTGACCTGGAAATGAGAAAGTTTTTAATATTATCTATCATTTCTAAATGTAATAATATGTCTACATGAAAATGCTTAGATCACCATGTAGTTTATAGGAGCCAGTAAACTAAATAGGCATGTCAGGCAGTCAGAGATATTGATTTTCTACTAATTTTAGTAAAAGTTATTTCTATAGGATTCATCAATCGTGTATTATTTTCTTTTTAATTCTATTTACTTACAGCTAAACCTTGAATCTAATGGTGAAGCTTAATTTCTTTCATGTTCAGTCACAGCATATATGCATAATTTTATTCTGAGGGTTAAATTTTAAAGAGAAAACTGAATGAAATCTGAATTCATTATTATCCCTGGGTTTTGCAACGTATTTTTTTTTTTTGCCAAGTATTTTTGCGGTTAGTAAAACTACATGGAATTACTCTCTTTCCACAGACTTATTACAGCAACACTCATCTAATATCGTTTAGTTTTCCTTTTTTACGTTTATGTACATCCAATGGTTTTGATGTTCATAAAAGGGAAACAATACAATAAGCTTAAAATACCATTACTCCTTTTTGAAAACCTTTGAACAGGGATGTCAAACTCATATTGTCACAGTGGCATCATGTGACATATCAGGACTTTCCCCACTTTGCTAAACTGGGTGTGGGCGTGCCCAGCATACGACGTATCTGACCGGTGGGCCAGGAGTTTGACAGCCCTGGTTTAGAAAATAGGCTCCCTTTGGATGGTTTTGTGGACCATAGTACCAAATGGGAACTTTTTAACTTGCTCCTAAGACTTCATATTATAAATAATTTCATGAAATCTACTTTTGTCCCCCATTTTTGGCTCAGTGAAAAGGAAGTCTCTAAATCTGATGCAATCTGTAGGAAGGGGGTTCGTTTTTTTCCTTTCTTTTTATATTAGTCCTTTCTCCTTTCTATATTCCCTGTCTTTCTTCCCCTCTTTCCCCTCTTTCTATTGGAAACTTACTTACCTAATTCATGGGCTTCTTTTGGTTCATTCTGTCCCAGACCTAGTTAATGTTGATATGAACATTAACTGTGTTTCTGGTCAGTTTATTTACATTGTGAATAGAAACAAGGAAAATATCCCATAACATCCATATCGAGTATGTTCTATAGAGATCGTTGGAAGAAGTTCTGCATTACAATATTGTCCTCTTACCCACAGATGTTCTACATGTGGCGTGACTTGATTGCTTGATGCCTAGATCTCACCCAACCGCCAGAATAACACTGAAACTGGTTACTATGTTTCTGCCTGAACATCTCCCATGTCTGGATAGCATCATTTCAGATGACACAAAAAAATCCTCCAGTATGACATGTATTCCTCTGGCCAGCCTTAGATATTGTCCCTATTATCCTTGTTAACAAGGTTCTGTTGAAATTCATAAACATTTCAGAGACTGGTCACAATCTGCTCATGTATTAGAAGAGACCTCTTTTGGGATCAGCTACCTATTCATTAATTTATCTTATTACAGTGTGTTTACTTGTAAAGTAAGGACAAATAGCGCTAATGCATAATACCTTAAGGCCAAATATGATTTTTTATCCAAGAAACAAACTTTATAGGAATTATTCCTTTTCCCCAAAACACAGGAAATCCTTATTCCTAAAGGTGAGAGAATTCACAAAACAGGCTTGTAACCAGAGCTGGGTTTTTACTTCTTTAAGAGGCTCACAATAATGTGCCTAGTAACAATCTTATTTTGGGGAACAAATATTCTAAAGTCCCTTTTTTCTTAGAATTTTCAAAGTTATTCTGACTTTCAGTGCATACAGTTCAGCTGGATTTGGGAGCTTCAGCAAAAAAAAATTATGGATAATTGAATATTATTTGAATGCTATTCTCAATACAATGTATTCAATAACTCAAATTAGCTAACAACTTAAACTGGTGTAGAAGAATTAAGCAAAACTCCTGCAAATACAAAAAAAGAATCATTACCATGCTATACCATGATACCACACCAACCATAATGTTGATTTTCTTAGATTGTCAGACTAACTATAGAACATAATATTGAAGAATCAAATATGCATGCAGAAAATAATGAGATCCACATGGCCGATGGAATTCTTCTGAAGGCTGATGCAGTTATAAAATGAAAGCCCATAAATTTGCATACATCTCCAGAAATCTGAACCAATTTATATTGTTTTTCTATCTTTAACATTAGCTATGAAGCATCTGAAATAGAAGTTCAAATGTGACTCTAAGAAATGTGGTTCAAATGATTATTTAATTTGTGTTAAATTATCTATGCTACATTATCTATGCTAATCTAAGCTTCTAAACTCCTTGGAACAGGAAGATAATAAAATGTGTATCTAACAATTTTCCCTAATTAGATTACTCATATTTCTGCTTATTCCATTAAAAACTATGATTATCCCTGGACAGTTTGTGATGGAGATGAGAAGCCCAAGAAAGGGGTAAGGGTATTGTAACTTGGAATCACAATCTATGTCATCCTTTGGCTGTGTCTTATTGACTCCTGAAATGGATGTAATTGTTGAACAAACTACAATACAGACCAAGGCTGACCTGTTCAGTTATAAATACATACAGGATCTCATATCTGTTTAAATTATGAATGCCATGGGGATGTCATATTTGAAAAATTAAGAGATATTAGAAGTCTTGTTTTCATTCATTTTCAAAGTAGCAAACTAACCTCGAGCTAGTTTAAAGAGCAACAGTGCCATCTAGTGGTGATAGAAATTGCTGCCTATAAATTCAGTGCAGTGGGTATTATATGCTGTTTGTGCTCATAACAGCCCACAGGGATCATTTGGGATGAATATTATTGCATGGAATGTTTTGAGAAGAATTTGCTTTCATGTTGCATATGTGTTGTCAGATAAGTAGACAAAGGAAAATAAACTTATATGTGACCAAAGACTTCTAAGTATCTAGAATAACCTTGCCCAACTCAGTGCCCTCAGGGTGTGTTTGACCAAACATTCAACCTATAGAATTTCTAATCAGCTGGCTAGGAATTAGGTTGCAATGAAAGACATTGGTAGGGCACGCTGTTAGGAAAGACTTATTTGGAAATAGTGTGCTGTTTTAGGTATGCCTTATGTTCTGTCCTTTAGAGAAGATTTGATTTAGTTCAGCCATATGTATTTAAATGTAGAGCCACAGCAATACCATTTACCAATACTATTTCACAGCTGTTCCTGCCTTAGATCCAAGACTACTATATATGCACCTTAACACTTTCTTACTACCACACTAGCTCTTATTCTTCTGGAAAAGTGCAATTCTGACTTAGTAGTTAGGAACCGAACAGTTTATGACATTGTTTCTCAGTTTTGGCAATTTTAAGATGAATGAACCAACTACTGAGTAACAGAGGAACAAGAATGAGGCAGTGACTTGGTTAGAGGGCTAATTATGCCCTGGATGTTTCATGGATTACTATAGTGGTAGGGGCCATCTTGCTAAATCCATGCTATAGTGGAACTCAGTGAAACTGGAGTATGCGCCATTTGTTTCATCTATTTAAGACAGTATAATTTGCTATCTTGTTACTCCAAATAATTGGATATAGTTATATTTAGGACTTGTTATCTGCAATGAACACAGAATATGTTCTGATTTTAACTGGGATATAAATATATCTTCTAATCCCCAGCTATACTAATAGCCCACAAACCCACAGCCACACTCCACCAGGAATTATCCAGAACCAAAGACGAAATGCAGAAGGATGAAAGAAACAATCTA